CATACGATAGCATTCTCAACTAACTGCCCGAATTGCGCTTCATGCTTGCTTTCTTATTGCTTTTTATTTAGTAGGTGGTAGATACTCAATTATTTCTTCTTTTTTTTTTTTTTATTTCAAACATTTGAATTTTTATTATTGATTTTTCTTTTTATCTTATTTAGACTTGCAAAAAATGAATAACAACGATTAAAAGTGTACACTGGCTCACGCACGTACAGCAGACCAAGGCAACTTCATATCGTATCGTCTAACGTTTTCTTTTCTTTCTTTTTTTCTCATTATCTGTACTTGCTCGTGCTCTTTTTTTCTTCATGTGTCTCTTGATCGAAAATGTAAATGCCGTCGGCTCTCTACTTCTATACTTTTTCTTCTATTATTTTGTCTTTTTTCTTTTTTTCTAATGATTATGATGATGAACATGATCAGCAGCAGTGAATCGTTTGCAGAAAAAGAAACAAAATTCACAAAACAGACTTGAATATATATATATATATACAAAACTGATTTATGTATAATAGAATTTTCTACTAGAATCTCACTTTATTTTTTCTTTCGTATCGAAAATTTTCTTGCATAAATTAAGTTTTGAAAGTATTTTGTCTGGTTGTCGACGAAAATAATACACAATGAATTAAATTAAATTTTGAAACAATAACTTTAATGAATGATAAAAAAAAGAAACTACCGAATTCATTCATAGAATGAGTTCAATAAAAATCATAATTCGATTAATACCAATCATTCAGAATCGATTCGCTTTTCTCTGTTTTTTTCTTATTGAATATATGTAACAAAAATGCCTGCATGATGATTTTTTTATTTGATGGAAAATGAAATCGAACTTGTAATTTATTTTGTCTAGGAACACCTTACATATAAAAATCAAAATGAAATAAATATTTATAACATCGTTCTATGTGATTGCATATTTTAATTGTCAATATAAACATGTATCTTATCGTACGTAACATAATATGAAGAAAAGAAAAAAAAATTTATTCGTTAGACATATTTTGACCGAACAAAACAAAAACAAATTATTAAATCATGTTAAAACCTTTTAAGTGGATTATATCTTATTTCAATGCTGATTTATTTTCGTATAATCGAAAAGAAAAAAAAAACAAAGAATGTCAAATTAATCGATTGATCATATTATAAAATTCATATCTAGCTTAATACAAAAAAAAAAAAAATGTTCAGATGTATAATAATTGTATTATTAAAATAAAATAAAATTTCGATTTAATATTTCTATATTTGCATAACTTATGAATTGATTAAACAAACATTTCCCAAGGCTTATAACATATGACTCAATCTATTTCACTACTCTTCAAATAATCGACCAATTGTAAATTTGACATATGTATGTGTGTGGTTACGTAATTCAATTACAAAGTATTTGTCATCCTATTGATGTCAGTATATTACATAATTATTTGGGAAAATAAGAAGAAAATATGCAGTTTTTTTCTATTCCTTCTCGATTTTGATATTAGTATTTTTATAAACGAATAAATCAATGTATTTAGTAAAACGTCTTCAACAATCTTCTTTGTCACTATTGACAGGTTATTATCGATCAGGTATGAAATTGTTTAATTAAAATTAAAATTAATTTTATTTTTATTACAAAAAATTCATGTGAATGGCAAAATTCGTGTGGTTATGATATTCATACCGTTTGTGCACAAATGATACGTAAATTTCTTGAATGTACTCGTTCACGTGATAATGATTTATCAATACCAAGGAATTCTAGTCAATTTCCTAGTTTACGTGAAAGCGATTGTTAGTGTTTATGTGCTGCGAAATGGAATGAAGCTTTAACAGCTAAAATTGCTCCATTTTTTATTCTTCAAGCAACACAGTATATTATATTACAATATGTTAAATATGATGAACTTCGAAAATATGCATTTGGTAATAATAATGGACGTCAAATTAAAAATAAAACATAAATTCTAATTTTTAGAATATGATTCAATACATGTGAAAACATAGTTTTTTTGTTGCAAGTTTATTGAAGAAAATAATTATTACTAAGCATGGAATTAAAAAATTTTTTTTCTTTTTTTTAGTCTTTTTATTTACGGTGAAACAGATTGTTTTTTTTTTCTAATTAAGTTTGAAATAAATGTTTCAATGCACGATTTGGAAATAAAGCTGATTACATATATTGATCAGGAATCTAAAATACAATTCAAGAGAAATCTACAATGTAGTAATAATATTATTCTATAAAAACAGATAATAGAATACATTTTTCAAGTTTATTATAGTTGTATACAAACGAATTTTTCACGAATTAAATAATAGACTTAGTTTCTCATTGATATGTATTATTACAAAAGTAATTAGTAAAGAAAGTCCTTAGAAAAAAAAAAATTTTCTATCATTAAGCAAGAATATAATGTGGAGATTAAATCATTCTTTATCAAAAAGTTCACTGTCAATCAAACAGATATTATTTAGGAAAAAAAAAACTTGATTGCCAAGGGAACCTTGAACTTTAGTTCCAATAATTGATTCTACTCTATAATGATATACTGCAGTTTAATTAGAGATATGATCCTCACCACATGTATATTCGTATATTTTATAAATAATTAATTACTCGAACTTGTCATCGATCTATAAACAAAGTATACACACTTACCCATGATATTCTCAATAACAGTAACTATTACCATGCTTGGCAACTAATTGAATATCTAAAATACTTCCACATTTAGTATTCACTTTCTTATGTTGTGACCAGTGTCTTCATACATTGATTTGATTGCTTAAAATTGTTTACAAGAAAGAACAAAAATATTCGCATTAAAAGTTAAAAAAAAAGAATAATTTTTATTTTGAATCAATCGATCATTAGAAGCCGAATGTTTGACAAATTTGTTGAAAAACCGACGAATTCAGGTTTCCTATAAATTCGTTGGAACTATATGTATATTTTCATTATTCTGTTCTTTTCATCATGTATATCACAGTCTCACTCATAACTTATTGATATACTTTAACTTCTATTGAATATATGCAAAATAGTCAATTATTAGAGAATATCTTTATTTCGTTTGATGAATGTACCACCAGAAATGTAGCACTCAATTATAGATCATATAGAACTCGAACAATATTGAGTACATAATATTCATGATCAACGATCTGGTATAACTATTTCACTTATATCTTTATTATCAACAGTGTTAGAATATTTTTCAAAATTACTAACTTACCAATTAAAATACACAAGATACTAGTTTTAAGCATTTATTGTAGTATTTGTCAATATTAATGAGATAAATCAATAATATATTATCGATATTCTTTTTATTTTTCTCTCATTTTGTTTTTGAAAAGAATTTCATGCTGACGTGTTGAGCGAAATGTAGTTTTGTTTTTATTAGTTAATGCAAGTAATTTACACGTAATGATATCAATAGAATCTAATTCATGGTTTAATATAGAAAAATACATGACAGTTTCGTCTATATACTTGAAACATTTTTTTATCTAGAAAAAAAGTCCTTACCGAAAGAAAGAGTTGTACACAACGTGTTCGAAAAATCATTTGACAATAAGAAAATCGTGTATCTTCATTATAGTTTGATTGTATGAACTAGTTTTTGATGGTTCTATACAGAATAAAGTATTTTTTCGAGTTGTAAAAAACAATATGCAGGATTTTTCTTCAATTTTGTTACATTATTGTGAGCTTTAAGCCATTCAAGTTTATTCTTCTTGCTTCATAAACATTTGTTGGACATTTCTAACAAACTAAACACATTGATCTCAAGTCTAGTGTCCATAAAAAAAAACCACAAAACATTGTCGTCACTTCAATGTGTTTTGCAGTTCGATATAAATGAATGAAAACACTAACTTTTGACATTCGTACTCAATCGTTTCTTCGAAATCGAATAAGAAAAAAAAGCATAATATTTTTTATAATGTTAGGAGAGTTTTCTATAAAGTCATAAAGTATTTATGGAAGTTATGCTGATTCTATATAATCAGTTATATTAAATAATAATTTGCAATTTTCTCATATTCAACTAATCGATTATTAAACAAGACTCTAATCAAAAGACAAATCATAATTATCGTAATTGTGATGTACATAAAAATCTTTTCTGTTAAAAAATAAATCTATAACCTATGAATTTTGATAGATATTTAAAAACTTTCTTAAAAGAAAGTTACTTTTTTTTTTTTATAAATTAACTCAATTAAATAGAAAAAATATGTGATACATTTAGCATTTGAATCAAATGAAATATTTGTTCATCAAGAATCATTCCATAATAAATTTCTGAAAATAACGCTGTGGTATTAATTTCAACTCAATTATGAATCTTCTAACAAATTTTACTTGAGATTATAGTTCTACAAATGATTTAATAACAATACATTTTACATAACATTAATCAAAAATGTTCAATCAAATGAATGAAGGAACGAATTCTACTAGAAAATACTTATATGTTTGATATAATTTGTAAAGTGAACTAGTCAATGCAAACATCTTATTTGAGTTATAATATGTTGCGCAAGATTTGTTGCTTTTGCTTATCGTGAGTCAAGGTAATGATATGAAAAATTATAAATGTTATCTTTTGCGTCACTATGTATCAATGTTGAAAAGTTATAATTGTTACCTTGACAAGCAAAGAAAATTATATATATAAATACAAGTTTTTGATATCTCTTCACTAACTTCGTATTTATAATCATCATACATTAGTGTTTTCTAATAAAATTATGCAAGTTTCTATTATTTATTTCATTTCTCTTATTGGTTTCATTCATGTATGTTCATCGGCCTCATCTCCCGAATGGACAGGCTTCTACAATGTTGATGATAGTTGTCTTCAAGCTGAATGTTGTTGTGTATCTGAACAAGCAACAATAACCAAACCTAACAATGCAGAACTTTTAGTTACAGCTAATGTTGCTGGTGCACCATGTCAAGCACAACTCAATGGATCAACTACAATATCTGTATTACTTCCAATACCTCAAGATAAAAATGGTTTTCAAATAACAACAAATTTTCTTGGTACTAACAATCGATTTACTCTCAATGCTGATAGTCAATACATTGCTAATGTTAATTTAGACAATCCAAAATGTAGTGGTATGGCACGACGAGCTATTAGTAATTGGGTAGGAACATACAGCATTGATGATAGTTGTAATCAAAATGATTGTTGTTGTTTATCTGAACAAGCAACTATTAGTAAAAGAAGTGATACACAATTTTTAGTATCAGCACGTGTTGCTGGTGTACCATGTCAAGCACAATTGAATGGTTCAACTACAATTGAAGTACCTATTCCAGTTCCTCAAGATAAAAATGGTTTTCAAATAACAACAAATTTTCTTGGTACTAACAATCGATTTACATTAACTTATGATAATAAATATATTGCTAATGTTAATTTACAATCTCCAAGATGCAGTGGTATGGGACGACGAATCGATGGAGACAATAATACAGCTTCATTGATTTCGTCATCATCAATCCTTATTCTTATCAATGCTTTTTTATTTCGTATGATTTGTGCATGAAAATGAAAATGATTTGATCGTTCTTTTTACGGTTTTTTTTTTCAATAAAGAAAAATAATAAAATTAATTATTTGATAAGTTTTGTTCAAAATATTGATTTTTTTATAAGATTTTATTAAATAAACCAGTAATATGATCATGTGTTAATTCAAGAGATACGAAAGTTTCATTTGGAAATTGACATTTTATTTCTTCAATTGATTAAATAATATTTCCGATTATGCCAAACAAATTTTATTTTCAGATCAATGACTATCATTTTAATTATCACTATTAAAAGACAGTCAAGAATTTACCAATAATTTTTGAGTTATACTCATTTATTAAAAAATCATTCTTTATTCGATTATATATAATTTGTAATAGAAATACTTTCATGTGATTTAGAGAAAGAAGAAAAAATCGATCAATATTTGACAAAAACTAACATACGAATGATAAAGATTTTATATTATCATCAATATTTCTTAATTTACTTTTGCTCTTGTTTTTGTAACGCTGGAAAAGATAATTAACACATATTTTATTACTTCATTGTTTACATGAAACTTTGGGTACTTTTTTTTTTATGGGTGAACATCTCATTTATTCAATAATAAAGGTAACAGTTTCGTCACTGTATCATTGAGAAATACAAAAATAAATCAATTCTGTTTATGATTCTTTCCAGATGCAAGAATCTATCATATCTGAGTTTAATGTCAAATTTAATATATATAAAAGAAATAATTATTAATTTTTTTTCTTTAATACTCAGAAGGACTAAAAAACATTCGAAGAAAATTCCCGTAAGGAGAACTATGATAGTGACAAATCTATCATTGTTCAAGTCTTATCAAAATCTTATAATTACACATTGATTATTCAAAAGATTTTTTTTCAAGACAAACAAAATATTCGTTCAAACCATCTAAAACCAAACTTTATATTTTCACAAATGCAATTTTTCACATGAATATTTTTGACTCAAGTTAACAAAAAATATTATCATATCTTTCTGTTTATTATAAAAATAGTTTTAAGTCAGCTGGTCATTATCACTGATACCGTAATAATCAGATAATTCTATATAAAAAAATACAACATGCCTGCTTTCTTTTTCTTTTCATTAGTTGCTACTATCTACATTCATATTCCAATATGAATACTATTACTATAGTTCTTCTAACCGTCAGTCTATCAGCTGATGTACCGAATTGGTTAGGCACATTCAATGTAGATGATAGTTGTAATCAAGCGGAATGCTGTTGTTTAGAAGTCATTCATAGATGATGTTCAGGCACTTAATATATATATTTCCTGTTCTTTTTACACAACTTGTCGCATAACTTTGAAGTTTAAATTGTTTTGAACAGCAATTTTAAATATGAAATGAACCAATTAAATATGCCTATATATTGTTGAAACAATTGAAGATTATACTACATGGACAGATAGTTATTTTCTCAAGCAATTATACGAGAAAAATTTCATTTAGTGCTTTGAAAAATAAACATAGGAAATTGATTTTAATATAAATACTATATAGAAATAAAGTGTATATTTTTGGAGGTTGAGTCTGAAAATTGCATCGTTTTTTTGTTAACTATTCTCAAATACATCATCGAGTAACGTGTATATTAGTATTAATGATTGATGCTATAAAATAATAGTTTTAATTTCTCTTCGACTTCTAAAATATATTTGAAATAAAAGGTTGGGTGGTTCACAATTGTACAAGTGAAAAGAAAACAAGATAACATTGATATAAGCATTGAATAATAATATGTGTTTTATATTTTTTATTTATTTAATGAACTGTTATTCAATAAAAAAAAAGAAGTGGTATATTTAAACAAACAGGATTGTTTTAGAAAGTTTTTTTTTCAATAATGAACATCCTTTATATGGATGACCTCTTAGTTTAACAAACGACAACAACAAAAGCTCCAGAAACACAACTTTTAGTTACAGCTAATGTTCCTGGTGCACCATGTCAAGGACAACTCAATGGATCCACTATGCAATATCTGTATTACTTCCAATACCTCAAGATAAAAATGGTTTTCAAATAACAACAAATTTTCTTCGTACTAATAATCGATTTACATTAACTTATGATAATCAATATATTGCTAATGTCAATTTACAATATCCAAAGTGTAGTGGTATGGCACGACGATCATAGAAATGTTTTCTGTTTCTTGATTACTCTTTGATAGTTGGTTTTTTTGTTCTTCAAATAAAATTCTCTAAAAATTTTATATGATTATTTTTGTAAATACAATAGTTTATTTTATCTAAATTAGAATTAATAAAGTGAAATTTATTTGTACATCTTTAAGAATGTACTATCATTAAATTTGAATTGAAAGTTTTATTTAAAAAAAGATATACATTAACTTTTCAGATAAACCATTATTGTTTTATTTTCTATCGGATAAGATACAGTAAAAAATGACCCATAGCCAATTATCAATAGAACGGCGGACGACGAATTATCAACATCATAGATAGATTACAATTTTTTCCTATATAATAACCTTTTTCTTTTTTTTTTTGAATAGGCAGAAATGTCTATATATATATATAATATCATATGTATAAGTAAGGTTAGTGTCATCGACATATCATATCATAATAACCATGGCTAGTTTTTCTATATCAGGTAGTACTGGTAAACAACAATTTATTTCTCTTCGTGGTCTTTCTCATGAAGTTTGTGTAGCAGCTACACAACCAGAATATTGGCAACAGGTATGGTTGAATAGCCAAAATAAAAAGAAAACTGAATTAATATAACAAAAAAAAAAACTTTCTAGTTAACAAAATATTCAAGTATTTCAATCACATACAATGGCAATTATGTACCAGTAGAACTAGAATCATTTTGTAATGATGAAGATGAACCAAGACTTCATCTAATAATTAAATCACAATATGAACAAGATAATAAACAATTTGATAGTATGTTATTAATTATTAATAAACAAAACATTTAAATAGTTTTCTAAATGTTTAGTTATTTGTACTCGAATTCATTATGATTTAATATCATTTGAAAATAATGATCGACCTATTTATGATGTAATGAAATTTGTTTTATGTAGGAATTTTCATTTATTTAAATATTTTTAGTCTGATAAAAATCAAGTGATAGTTTTTGGTTCTTTATTTAATTCGCTTCCTAATGATATATTTGATACTGAACGATATTTATTAGGTCAACGAGTAAGTGAAAAATATTTATATATTAATAACTATTGAATAATAATTCTAGAACTGTAATATAAAAAAAATAAGAAATTCATTAGCTTGTTCAATATCTGTTGATCAATCAATGCCACATAGATATCGTTTTACAATTTAGTAAGTTTTTTGTTTTTAATGATGATATAGAATGTAACATACATCAAATTCTTTTAGTCATGAAAAACAAACTATTATGGATCTTGCAGCTGTTCAAATTCAATCACTTGTAAGACAAGCACAAAATCATTATATAATGATATATGCTACGAAAATTGGAAGAACTTTAATAGGTCCTACGGAACATATGGAAACTTGTAAGGGTTTTTAATCAAAACAAAAAAATTTCAAACAATATTTATTGAGATTAAAATTTAGCTATTTTATCATCAAATCCAGAAACATTTCCATCATTTACATCATTTCAACCTTTTGTTAAACGAGTATGTAAAGAAAATATTCTCATTGAATCTATATTGATAAGAATTATTTATTTTATTATTAGAAACGTCTTGAAGATGAAGAACAAGCAACAACGATTGATAGAAGTTAGATAGATTTCTGAAAATTTGAATTATTCTTATATTTTTGTTTCTTTAGATCAACCAATCATTGATTCTGATCAAAGTGATGATGAAACAATACCCGATGAAAGACGGTATAATAGTGAAGCATTTATTTCAAGTTCTACTTTAAATAATTCTCCAACATTGGATGATCCTGATAAGATTTCATCTCATTTATCATCCCTTTTAGATAATATTTTTCATGTTAAGCTCTAATACTAATTGAGATGAGTGTATTATAATAGTATTAATTTTTTTTTTAAAGAAAAAAACAAATGAGTATATTTTATTGAGTGTTTCATTGATATGGGCATCTTGTAGACGCTTGGTAGTCTACATCAAATGTGCTAAAAGGGCGCTTGGTAGCCTCAATGAAATCGGTATATGCAATCAAAATTGATATCGATGGTCATAGAACTTGGTATTGATATCAATTTTGTCATATGGATGGAAAACTTGTAAATATAGAAAAATTTAGTATTAGAATTATATTTTGATTCTGTTTTATAGAATTATATTTTGATTCTATTTTATAGAATTATATTTTGATTCTGTTTTATAGAATTATATTTTGATTCTGTTTTATAGAATCAAAAAAAAGACAGTTGATTCATTCAACTGACTAATGAAGGATGTCTCGCAGCCGATAAGTAGTTTTTGAGTCAAAACTATGTATTAGATATGAATACGCTGGAAACATGAGGAAAGCTTATTTTCGAATTTTGATTTGAAACTTTACATAGAGACAGGTCTTATTGAGTATAGTTTCTTGTGAATGTTGCACACGTTGCTATTGTTCTTATCTTAACATACAGTGGTAAAAAAAGTGTCTTTTACTTCACTCATAAAGGTAGATTTGATGTTCTCATTTTTAGAATAGAAGCAAATTCATAGATCTGAAACTGTCACAATAAACTAATCTTGTTAAGGCTTCTCTCTCTATAAAATTGCCAATCGAAAGTCATTTTTCTTGATGTGTCTGAGGAGGAGTACGGCATTGATTTAAAAACTACTGTGAATTTACAGTATATCTGCCACGGTAAACTAAGATCCCGAATTTATCAATATATTCAAAATTAATCAGTTGACGAAATTCCCTCGGAAGCATATGACTAATTGAATAAATCTAATAAATATTTTGGAACATACTCCTTGTTGTCTGGTAGATTATAGAAGAAATCATCTGTGCTGGAAAAATTCATTTTACTGTATATAGTTGCAGTCAGTGGAAAGAACGTCATTTCTATAGACATGTTGTTTTGAATTCTGTTTATTAGAATTGAACAAAAAAAAA